ACACACAACAATAATGGGAGCAAAACTTTTCGCAAACTTTTTATATTTTATGATTTTCTTGTATCAAAACTAAACAATTTTTATCCACATTTAGTTTATAACAAAACCAAATTACTGATATTAAATAAATATAGTATAGTATACACTGTATACACTATATAATACTAAATACACAAACACACTCTTATGGGGTATTAAATACCTATCTCGTTTTAGTTTTTCAAAATGTCACTGCAATTGGGAATTCCTTTGAATCCAATCTGAAATACAATATAATATTTTATTTTTTATAGACGAGAGGTATTGTGAAATACCATTGATGTTCACAGCATTATACTTATTGATATGCATTTAGTTTTATTAATCCCTACGAAACACAGATTATGTAAATTATAGATAATTAATTGAAGAGTTATATATTAGAGTTGTTTTCATAAACAATATTATTAATTGCATTTGTTTTGTCTGCAGAGATATTTGATATTCATATTGAAATTCATTGCAAAATATATTTTATACTTTTATTGGCAATAAATTGTCTCTAAATTTGATATACAATTAATTGTTTAAATGCATAAAATGTTCACTAAATAATTATAAGAGTATTACAATAAATATATAAATAAAATAATTATTTCTACTTTTAGTGAATACACTATCTCTTCAATACTTGACTCCAAATTGCAGTTATCATTAGATAATAAGTATTTTCGTCTGAAAAAAAGTAATTATAAGTAATACAAAGTATTATAGATATTTTTATGTGTATTGTTTATTGGGTTACATAACTATTGTGTTAACATTTAGTAAATTAAAATTTCAATAAAAATTATTTATAAATCAATAATAAGTTACTATAAAATCAAAGTTTAAGTGACATTTTGTTTACTATTACATGCCTTACCCAACCCCTACCCCCACATACCAACCCATACTAAACTCATGCCTAACCAACCCTATTGTAATCGGGGATCAGTTGCTAAGGTATTGCTATAATTCCCGTTAATATTAAGCAATAATACACTATTGATATGGGAATAAGAGATATGGATGTTATAGTGAAATGTGTGTTGATTTTTATAGCCCTGTATAATAAACATCAAAACCAATTGACAATATATTTACGCTTATATAATGCAATCATTTTCTCGTTACACCAAAACCCTTACGATAAAAATTCTGTCTAAATTCTCCCACCTATATGCTATTTCTATTTCAATAAAAAACACCAGGGACACACCCATTGTCTCAATGAAACAATCAAACATGTTACCATATACTTTAATATATTAATTAATGGCGTAATGCATTAATTAATGTTTTACATAAATTAATATAATTTAAATACTAGACTAAACAAGTTTGAAGCATAAAAATTCCGGTTCTCTGTGCGATATAACAGACAGAATGCTATACATTATATTACATTTGATCAAGGTTACAGTTATAATTATACAATAAATTAATACCATTATAAAACTATACTAATTATGTCATATATAAAAATAGTTAAAAATTTGAAAAAAATAAAGCACGATGACTAAAATATCCACACAATAATGCCTGAACCAATACATGTACAGATGTACTGTACAATATTGTACCCCCTATGAGCGCTATGATAAACTAAAACAATGTGCAACATCATTTTTAACACAAAAGTAAATAGAACCGCGATTAAACATGTTTAAAAACTGCACCTAGCACCAATATGACAAATATCAATTCTCTACATTATGACCATGTTCAAAGTGTGCGCTCGAGGACCCACTGGAGGGCGCGCGCACACAGCCATCGACGTGTGCCTATGACTGGTTAATGATGTCATTGAACCCATCCTTTGTCTATGGGTTATCCACATCTTTGGGTTCACTTTTTTCGTCACCACTTTTTGTTGTTTGGTAGCCACGAAAAAAGTGAACCCGTGTCACACCTATTCATTATCAGATATGCCATTATTAGGACTGCAATGTTAGGCCATATACAGGGCGGTCAGCGAATGGCGTCCAACAGTTAGCCGCGACTTCTCATCCACTGCATTACAAGTGGGCATAAAATGTATAGAAATGTTAACCAAAAAATTGTATTTTCATATATAGTTTTGACGTTTGAAATGCCGTCTAATAATCAACCCATTTTCCTCAACCCCGATCACTGTTACCCTGTTGCAGGTTTTGTTTGCCCCCTACCCCCACTGTATTTGCTCTAAAATTAATAGTAATAATTAGTTACAATATGTTTGACAGCTAATAATGTGGTTATAGTACCTGATATAGTTATGGATTAGCATTTGATCATAAAATTACGAGTTTATTTAGCTAGATAAATGTACCCAGGCTCATTTATAAATGCCGACCGCCGCCACACCCGCACACACACCACGCGTACTGTTGTATACGACGGGTCATCAAATGGGTGGTCACAGCGCAGACTCAGTGCGCGCGCGTCACGTGACGTATGCTTTTTTGACAGCTGTTTGACTGAACAGTGGTTTCCATTCAATGATTGGAAATAAATAATAAATAAATACTGAAAAACAAAATATAAATAAATATTTATTAAAAACAATTAATTAATAAACGTTTAATAAAAACAATTAAATCAATCGCTAATTATATAAACAATTTGTTTAATTGTAAACCCAATTGAAATCCGGGGCACAAACTATGTGTTTATCGTAACTAACAAAACACTAGTGTTTTATTAGTTGTTATAATATTTGTAATAATAATAATAATTGTATTATATTTTAGTGTCAAATAGTTTTTGTGTATTTAATTGTGTTATAAATCAATAACTTTTAAATCAATAAATTAATTGTGTTTTGATTTCTCACAACTAATTGTATTTCAAAATACATATAGTATTACACAATCAGTACTGATATCTATTGGGACACGATTTTGACCGACCATTGGATGTCAACGTACGCCATGTCTATGACCTCCATGTCGTCCATCAGCAACGGTATGGGTGGACACGGATGTGGCGCTCAATCCATGGCCACCAATGGGTCGACCGGAGCCGCGGCGGTCGTCACGAAAGCCCGGCCCAAGAAAGTGGAGGTCCGGTGGTTGGAGTCGGAGTCGGAGATGTATCTGAAACAATGGCAGCACCGCTACCACCAGTTGGTCGGCCTCGACGACGAGTTCGACGACATGTGGTATAACGGGTCCAGCGCTAAGACATTGCTCGATCTGGAGCTCGACTTTCCCACTCTGAACGCCAAAAACAACAATAACTTTATCAGTAGTAGTAATACAGATAGCGGTGGCAGTGGTGGCGGCGGCGGCGGTGGCGGCCATAACAGGTCCGCCATCACGACGTTTGACCACATATTCTGGTCGACGGACGACCATCTGGTGAAGAATAATAAGGCCAACAGTAAGAGTAATAAGCGGTTTAAGAAGTCGTTGTTTGGGATCAGCTCTGAGCCAATGCTGGCCGATGGGCCCGAGTTTGCCCGCCGGCGCCGCAATATGGCCGCCGCCGCCGATGACGAGTCCAGCGATGGCGAAGACAACGACTCGTTTGAAAACATGAGACTCACGTCCGTCAAGAGATTTGTGAATAAAAGTAATAATAATAATAAGAAAAATAATCGCAATAATAAAAGTGAGTTTTAATTTAGTTGTAAATGTAATCAATGTTTTCGTAATTAACGGTACGATTAATTGTATATTGTAATGTTTTGTCTCATTTTATTAATTATATTGATTTGAGTGCGAATTTAGTGGCCTATTATGTATACGACATGTATAACAAAGTGGTTAACTTTATGGCAAACGTGTCACACAATGCCATACATTTATAGTGTATCCTCTGTTATAGTGAACCGTATTTTTGTGGTGAACTTAATTGCTGTCAAAATATATGGCAATTGCGTTCAATTGAGGGGTTTTTACAGATTATAATTTAAATAAATTGATGTTTAGCTCATAGACTAGAAATTAGGGCACATATAGAGAGTAAGACTACTACTAGTGCTCAACACTTTGGGCACAAAATGCAAATACTTTACGAGTAGTGCCTCTAATTAGGTCGCGAAGAGTGGGTGGTCTGTATGTGCTGTCTCTGTGCCAGTGCTTGGGATCAGTTAAAACACACTTTCCCTAATGGTTAACCAGTTTTACTAATGAAAACTCATTATTCATTCGCTGTATTTATAGATGACATAGTGTTCAACGAGAAGGAGCGCCAGTTTTCCATCGATTTAAACAAACGGCTGGAACTGTTGGCCAAAGATCAGGCGGCGCTGACCAACGGCGTGGACGCCGCCATCGACGAGACAGTGTTGAAGGCGCGACAGCCGAAGACACCGCGTGGAAGCGCTGGCAATGGCGGCGGCGGTCAACGGGATAGGAGTCGACCTCCGCGGCCACGACCGCCGCCCATACGGCGCCAGATATTCAAGTGCGAGCACATCGGCTGCTCCTATCAATCCGACCGTAACTTTAATTTCTTGCGCCACAAACGCACGCATCGGAAGACCAACGGAACGGCCGGCGCCGACGGCTGTGGCGGCGACGACTCGGTGTCGGCCGCCGCTGCCAACGGTGTGGTCAAAGTGTTGACCAATCTGTGCGTTGCGGTGAAATCGTCGGCTACGGGGCCGACCATTCACGGCCTGACGACACTCGACCACCATATCATAAATGGCGGCCCGAATCCCAAACTGTATATCACGCAGACTTCCAACACGTCCGACACGGCCTCCACAATGTCCTCCTCGTCGCAGCTGTCGATCACCACAAGCGGTTCCATAGGCGGCAGTACTG